TTTTGATATATTTACGGGAGGAAATTTACAAAATATCTTCATGGAACATGATCTTATCCAAATGATTTTTTGCATAAAAGAAAAATCGATAATTTTGACCCATACAATGTATTGTTGGCTATTGCTACAAATATACCCATGCTACTTATGATTGGTTTTGTGGTCCAGGGTCACAATATTATCAGTGTGCACTCTTATAACACCGAGATGCCAAAGAAGTTCCATTCTGGGTTCCCTGAAGAACCTTTCAGTCAACATTTCTTAAAAGAACCATTTCCCTTAGTGTGAAGAACCTATTCATAATTTAAAAGAACCTTTTATTTTTGTCCAATGTAAACTTTAAAGAACCATTCAAAGGTTCCACAGATGTTAAAAAATCTTCATGGAACCATCAATGCCAGTAAAGAACCTTTATTTTTAAGAGCGTGTGAGCATGTGAGAGGGATGGTGATTGCATCGCACCTTGTTTCCCAATAAAAGTGTATAAAAATGATCTGTCCGAGATGGAAAACACAGAAATGCCACCTGCACATGGACAGAGGATGGACTTCTGGAACATGGAAGGCTGAAAGCCTGCAGGACAACAAGAGGAAAAAAAAATCCATAGGGCTGAGGGCAGATCAAAATTTTTCTATCAAGCTTTAATATATTATGACTGCTATCTTTAAAATCAACATGAAATGATGTTCACAAAGAGCTTCTGCATGTATTGCATTTCTGAGTGATACATTCAATGATAAAAATAGAAAAGGGACTTATTCCAATGGTAAAAAGTATTATTGCAATATTATTGCCGTATTAATTACATTACTGTTACATGCCACTGAATTACTTTTAGATTTAGGCTGCATTGCCTAAAACAATGAGCACTACAGTAAAAAAGACTACAGACTACAGTATTTGGCTAATAAATAACATTATTTCTGGCCTAGATGACGTCAGCTGAAAAAGAAAGGCATTTCAGATGCAAAGCAAGTTACTAGATTGTGATAAAAGATTGCAAAGACAAACATATTCTCTTTGAAATAACGTACAATAATGAATAATGGCACAGGAACATTTATTAAGAAAGCAAACAGGGTTAATTCTGATTTCATGTTCAAGTTTTCTAAAGAACTATTCCAGCTTAGAAAGTTTCTAACACAAACAGCATTTCTTACGTAACTCAAACTCTCAGAAAGCCACATATCTTTTTCCTTCACAGCAAATGCATTTTCCTTAACTTGACGATGCAATCTAATTAAGTCTGAATAAATCATTACCTGAAAGAAGTGCAGAAGTTGCCAAAACAATGCCAGAACTTTGTCCATGGAGCTCCATCCCATAATTCCAGTGTCCATAGACGACACCATATCCTTAAACCAAAACACTACGGTCTTGAGCCTTGCAGCTTGCACTGTAATAATAACCTACACTACAATAGTATGGTCAGCAGCATCCTAAAAACAGTCTTTGTGGTCATAAGAGCACTCCGTGGCATCTTAGAGCAAAGAATTTAGCTAAGTTCAGTTTACACAAAAAAATACCCCACATTCCTTGAGGACACGCCTCCC